ATCGGTAAGTAAAACTTGGAATATGGAAAATATATCTTTTTAATCCTGCAAAAGATAACAAGATAAAAATACACTATCATGAAGCAATTCTCTCAAAGTAGACAATTGCTATTGGTAGGAAAATTGATTTTGAAAGTAAATTAATCACCAAATAAGAAGATATGAAAGAACGAACAATTAAGTGTCCTAGGAAAAAAATTCGCAAAGGTCGGGAGTATTTGGAATTATCATGTAGCACTTAGAAGATCAAAAAGCAATGAAAAGTTGAAATATTCTTTCGTCATGTAACATGTATCTGTAAGTAACATTATCATATKAACCGTATTCGGACCTTATACGCGCGCTCTTCAAAAACCTTTGGGAAATGGTCACGTGGTGGGGGCCGTACGCCTTTTCGCGACAGGGCCGTACAAACCCGTATCTTCCCGGCTTGAAGTTCCGCGCGCTTTTATCAAAKAAATAGCTTAAAAAACGCTGTCATATGATAAAATGCTTACTGACTGAGTTAGGTCGGGCCGTACGGGAAAATATTTGGTTCTCGGTCATTTGTACGGACCTCGCTGCGCTCGTTCCGTACGGCATAACCTCGAGCCAATTAATTATAATATTTTCCCGTACGGCCCTCCCACTTAGTCAATAAGTACATAGTCTTGCCTTTACTGGGTGCGTTAACAGTTTGATAAATTATATAAAAAGAATTCATTTTAGAACTAACAACAGTTTTAATAAATTTGTCGCAGCTCTTGGATACCGCCGCTCATAAAGAGCTTCAGGTAATTATCCTCAGTGAAGTACTTTTCATTTTACATCCAGCTATATACAGTGATTGCTGGATTGTTAGGATACATGTTTAATTATTCCGTAATCATCACATTCATCTCTATATTTTGGTTTAACATTAATGTTTTTGTTTCATTTTGTGATATTTTAGACGGCACTCCAAAAGCAGTACTTAAGACTGACTTCATTGTAAGTATAACTTTGATTGGGGTTGGGGATGCCGGGGATASCAAGATAGATGTGAAGCGGTGARGAGGGTGTATAATAGATAGATATGCATAGCGGTAGATAGATATTMATAGMGAAGGGGGAGGGGGTATAGCCAACAACACCAAAAAAAAAATGACAAAATATAAGAATATTAATGGCTTACATGGTAGATGCATATATCGCCGCGCAGGGGATTCAAATATGGAAATGATCATTGGGTTAATTATATTGTACCTTTCATTCTTTTTTAGCCATGAAAAAGAAAAACAAGAACTCATGGTATGTATACAAGGAACACTTCGTTACGTTTACGAGAATAAAGAACTAGGTCTTCTACAATGAAATATCATCAGTACATACAATATATGAAATAAGTATAAAAACGTAATTATTATTTTGTGTGCGTCTAACATTCCTGACTTCTTATCCACAGAACAAGATCCTACGCCTTGAAAGGTAAGGTGTATTCTGAGCTGTTTACCATTACAACATTAATGTTTGGGCTTGAACAAGAAAATCAGTACAGAAAAACGATGACGAAGAGGCTATTTTATGAAAATAATTTAATGACATTATCCTTCGGTAATAGAAATAAGTAACTGTCAGAAGTACATATTTTTTAATTTAAATTTTATTTTTAAGTAATGACCCGAGTCAGAAGTACATAACCAGAAGTGTCCATCTCCCCAATAATATCGCCACCATMAGATGTCCCGATAATCTATTTTTAGACAACCAATCACAACGCGCGCACATATTACACGGCACCTGATTTTCTTAGCACGCTGTTTTACATTTTTCTTCGTCTTTGTCTGAACTTTTCCCTTGTTTTCGCAGACCATATTGCTCTTGAACTTCCTTCGCTACAGTGCTCATATATTAAAGTATGTTTTCTATCGAATTAAAAAATGGTTGTTCAGCAAAAGGTGTAAAATCCTCGTGTAAATGCGAACTTCAATTCGTTCGCCTCCATCGACTACATAATTTTTTCCTTTCTTGTCCGCTCTTGAAGTAGATCAACAAGGACCAATCAGGTGCCGTGTAATATGTGCGCGCGTTGTGATTGGTTGTCTAAAAATAGATTATCGGGACATCTGATGGTGGCGATATTATTGGGGAGATGGACACTTCTGGTTATGTACTTGTGGTAACTGTGCATTATGAGTAACCCCCGAAGTACCCAAATCTATCCCCACTTCCCTGTTCTATGAACCTGCTCCTAATGCCTGGCAAATAAGGAATATTTTACTTTTATTTTAMTAGGTGATATATATGGTTTAATGATATGTTGTAATTTAATCATTTACAGCGAACTGAATGAGCGTAACGCACAGGAACAGCTCTTGACCAAGACAATCGAGGATCTTAACGTAAGTATACCGATTTGCGGGGCAGACACGGGTATATGAATCGGTCAAATAAAATAATTATAACCCCCCAAAACGTAAAATATTTGGTAACATATCGGAAAGAAATCAGTGATCATTGTTTTAATTGTATGAACGTTTTTATTCACAGCTCAAGATTAAACTTCAATGGTGAGTTAATTGCAATGTTTTTTACTTCAATGTGACTCCCGAYATGTGCATTTCTGATTTYTGTGATAGAGCCGCGTACTTTGAAATAAAATGCGTCAACAGCAATCGAAGCTCGTATATTTGATATTACATGAAAAATATGACAAAGATAGTTGTTCATGGTATATTATGAAAATAAACTCGGCAATGATGATATCCTTTGTTAGTAGACATAAGTGTTTAGTATAGTACATCAATAAGAGACATACAAACCCATCTGCCACTCCCTCTTCCGTCCCCGGTTGTATACTCCTAGCTAATSCATCCGCTCCCTCTCCTTATATGATAGCGACCATGAGATGATGAAGAACATAATCAAAGAAAATGACTTCAAAGAAAAACTGGAAAAACTAAACGTAAGTCGATCATGTCATTCTTGTCCAAGTGACAAATAACTTCAATCAAATACTAATGGACTAATGATTTTTGATGTTACATCACCAGTGCAAAGTGACTGAGCTTCAAAGGTACAGTTATTGATATTCGAATTTAGAGAAACGAAATAGCGAATCAGGCATATCTTACTTTTAGCAAAGACTAGGTGGTATATATAGTTTAATGATATCTTGTAATTTAATCATTTGCAGCGAACTGAATGAGCGCAATAAACATGAACAGCACTTGACCAAAACAATCGAAGATCTTAACGTAAGTACACTGATTTGCTGAGCAGCCACTGACGTATACATCGGTCAAATAAAATGAATCGAAGGATTGTGAAATATTATGTAACATATCGGGAAAAAATGATCATTGAGCTAATCCTATGTACGTTTTATTCACAGCTCAAGATTAAACTGTCAAGGTGAGTTAATTGCAATGATTTCACTTCGCCCTTTTTCGTAGGAGCCTCAACTTAACTAAATTAACCAATCCTAGCTCAACTCCTTCTTTTCCTTGCGCTACTGCTAATCCCCCTGAGTCCTCTTCCCAGCCGATGTGTGTTGGCCATCTGAAATATAATAAAATGTATTGCATTATATGTATTCCATGTAGTGACCGTGACGCAGAGAACAAAGAAATCATTACGTCTCAAGAAAAAGCTTTCAGACAAGAACATGACAAACTAAATGTAAGTACTGATGATATCATTCTTGTCAAATAACTTCAATCAAATGCTAATGATTGCTGATGTTACATCAACAGGCCAAAGTGGCTGAGCTTCAAAGGTACAGTTATATAAAGGTTGAYAGTGTGTATTTTATTAATTCGTGAATCAAAGTTTAATAGTCCCAATGTAATGAAGTTTGAACCACCGAAAAGACGAAAAACAACTTGCTTAACAAATTAAGTGTAGAACACTAAGTGTATTTTACGAGTTTCATGAAATCCATTCCACTTGTAAGAGAAAGAAAACGGAGTGGAAGTTATACGCAGTCACGACTCAAACACATTGTCAGGTGTTCTCTAGCTCTCGCAATACTTGACGTCATGTTATAATTTACAGTGAGTTGCAGACAAAGCATTTTGAAGAGAAAATTTGGTATACAGTGTTTTCCAATCTAACAGTAAGTATGGGAGTTACTGGTTGTCTCGCTTATTTATCGAATTACGGAGACTAGTAGAATCTATAATGAAAGAAATATTCTAGTTCGTTTATTACTAATAACATTAACTTGTTTTCCATAGGACAAGCTTAAAAGACTTGAGAGGTGAGATATGTTCTTATGTTTTAACTGTATTGAATTCAGTAACCTCGCTTTATAGTATTCTAAAACATATTGTGTTAATCTATAGCGAATTGGAGAAAAACATCATGAAAGAAAATGCCAAGAGCAAAGTCAATTGTAAAGCAGCCGAAAGCTCAGCACTGAAAGTAAGCATACACAAGTATAAATTATTGCAATAAATATCAATACTCCATTTTATAGTGGTTCACAGTGACATCTTTGTATCAAAGTGTGACAGTTGTTAACCTCTGGCGCAAGGTAGATATAACTGTCAGTAATTGTCCTGGTCGCGCATATTACAGCAAGGCCATCCACTATCTCGCTTTGAAGTAAGAGCTCGCGTGCTTGATTTACAACGTGTTCCCTGTCTGTGGCGCTGTTAATACTCCAGTTTTTAGTCATTTCCTGTGCGCGCYATGTGTACCTCAAAGCGACTCGCCGAGACAGTTGTTAAGTATGTAATGCTGCAGTCTGAGTAATTATGTTAGACGTGAAAGCAAAATCTCCATCAAGCTCAATCTCTACCTTGATTTGATGCAAAAAWTACTCATGCATAATTTAGATTTCCTGGCTACAGGGTTCAGTTTTAGTACTACATTTTATAGTTCACTCAGCGTCATGATCTTGAAAGAAACATTTGCATGCGTCAAAGCGATATCTATCACTGCAACCTCGACCGTGTTTCTCGCTACCGTTTTCAATATGGTGCCCATAACTGTGCTGTAATACTGGCTAAGGACATTTAACAAACTCAAGATTAACGGTTTTATCTTTTTTTTTCTGGGACATCTGAATCATCATCTCAAAAATGTTATGGTTTCTCCTCAGGAGAAGAGAAAAGTCATCTTTGAAGACGATGATGCGTAAGTATTCATACATTAGAACTAAATAGATACCATGGTAACAGATTTCTTAATGCAATATGCAGCGACGACGTTTTGCGCAGCAAAGCATGATGGTAGTTCTAGTCTTCACACTTATTTTAGACCTTTAAGATATGCCATCTCCTTCAAATCTTTATTTATACACCCTTTTAATATATAAGTCCCGAGGTATTGTGTCCTCCGGACTTGACGTCAAATATTATTATTTTGAATTAAGAATAGAATAAATTTGACGTCAAGTGCGGAGAACTCAATACCTTGGGACTTATTAAAGGGATATAGACAATCTTCTTTATAGAAAAAGCAAAATTATAAATATTTTTCACTTAGGAAAAGCAAAATGGCATCGCTGCACATTGACTATTGATCGAGTGCTTACTTTCCCTTTCTTGATTCACTAGTGAAAAACAGGTCCAGCTTGTCCGATTGACATAAACTTATACAACAATAAGATAACGATTTCTGTGTTTGTTGTMAATGTCTTATAGTTCTATTTTACTTATTCTATTTACAGCTGCAGTCTATTAGTTTTCACCTGCAGGTCTCA